TCAGGAAGACGATGATAGCAAAACCTCCGGCAATAGCTGGGGCAATGAACCAGGCACTGACAATACCCGCAACACCCTTGCCATCATTGTAGGCCATTGCACACCATCTTTTCCGAGAGTAGCAATACCAACGCCAATGATAGCACCGACAATGGAGTGGCTGCGTCGAGGTTAGTAAATACTACAACAAAAAGGTGGTCATGAAAGCTCGCTTACGTTGTTGAAACGGGCATACCCATCTTAGTAGCAAAGGTCAACCACAAAGAGGATCCGACTAGGGCGCACATCATTCCCAGCATAAGGGCAGCTGGCTCCTTGGTGAACTTGGAGGTCGAGATGATCCCGTTACGGATGGTATCCGACACTCGGGATCTTCTCACCAGTTAGCGATCCAGATTCTGCAGAAGGAAGTAGATCAATGGGCCACGCTGCACTCACCCTACGAGAACGGCACCACCAAATTCCATGACTGTTGCAATCATCATAGCCTGCATCATGGTCAGCGACCGCGATGAGACGGAGGTCGCGAACGAGTTGGCGACATCGTTGGCACCGATGTTCCAGGCATCGAGGAAAGCAAAGATGATGCCGATGGCAAAGATGTAGTCAAACTGGTGAAGAACCATGGCTGCGGCAGCTCTCTCTGTCTCGATCTGCTGGGGAGGAAGGTCGACGGCACACGAGGATTTCCTTTCGAGATGTTGACAGGGGAGAAGATATATCGGCCCCCGTATATAGGAATCGGCTTAATATATGTGAGAATTCTATATATATAGATACGACGGGGGGGAACAAAACCCGCATAGACCAGCCTTGAGTTTGCCTCGCTAACCGCCAGCCTGGGCCGCAAGCGGAGGCCGTAAGCACCAGCAGAGCAAAAAGGCGCCAGAAAGGCCCAAGAGACGAGGACATGACCGAAAAGGAAGGTATTCCGCCTATCTATAGAAGTAACACGTGCTAGCGCAAGCTCCTTGGCCCGCCAAGCGCGCGGAGCCAAGAGACGCGCCAAGCGAGCGGAAGGGGGCGGGAGGAACTTGGCGGGAAGCGGCCAAGCGGGGGGACGGGACCACAGGCGTGAAGCGCAGGCCACACGTGGGCGGCTCCTGGCCCTGCCCGCTCACTCCGTAGCCGTGTATTCTCGGCCACCCATTCGCCCTCTTTTTCCTGACTTGTTTTGCCTCTTTCTTGCTCGCTCGTTTGCGCGTCTTGTCGTGCGTTCTTGCAGGGCGTGGCGAGGTCGTGCGCTCGCTCGTGGTGTCATCTCAAGGTATACTCTTTGTCTAGCCAGAGGCAACACCCAGTCTCATGATATTTTTACCGCTTAAATTCCTGCTTTTTGATTGGTTCCAGGGGTATCAAGTTAGAACTTATCCTGATTCGCGGATGGGATGAGATTAAGAGTAAAGAAAAGAGAAAAGAGGTTAAGGTTTGATATATGGATGATTACATAACGGGCAGTACCTGTTACGGATATATAATATTCCACAATTCCGGATAAAGTTCCCGTCCCGTCTGTAGTTGTTTATATAAGCGAACCTAATCTTTAAATCGGAAGAAGTTGAGTCTACGCACCAACTACCCATCAAGCTCGCTACAGTTTCAACATACTTCAACATCTTCATTGCTTTGAACCTTTAATGATACCTATTAGGAGGAAAGACTGCGTTGGCAGTGGCGCTAAAGCTAATGTCCACAAAGCCAACGAAACCATTGTTGTCAAAGTTCCTAATTCTAGCACCATCGCTGAGGGAAACAGCCCCTTTTCACAAGAAGCTAAATTTTACAACCGCGTGCTCGGAGAAAAAGAGAGATGCCCAGATATTGTCGAATGCTTCATTGCGTCATCAGACTTCATTTTCCTCTCATATTGCTGTAATAATACTCTAGCACACCGCTACTTCAAATATCAAGAACGGGAAATACGTCCAAACGGTCGTCCGGGAAAACTATTGAGTGTAAAGGAATATGAGGACCCTGCGCTTATTGCCCGATGGATACAACAACTCACTTCCGCGCTTGCTTTCATGGAAAAGTTGGGATACACTCATAACGACCTACACCCACGCAACTGCCTTCTTGATGAAAACCTCAACCTGAAATTGTCCGACTTTGACCAGGCTACTACTATCGGGCAGTTTCTTGAGAGCCTGATGGAGCCATGGGCTATTAAGCTTACATCTGGCCCTCTAAGGAATACTTATGGCCTTACGTCCGCTCGCACTGAACAATTTGCTATTGGCACCTTCCTTTTCACAATGGTATATGGCCACGAACCATATGAGGATATCCACCTTGAAGAAGACCCGATAGAACTGAGACGGCGCTTTAGAGCTTTCGATTTTCCAGAGCTCAACAGACATGAGGTTTTTGACGAGTTCATCTCTGCTTGTTGGCATAATGTATATCCAAATATGGCACTGGTCGCTTATGATATCAAACGCAAGACTAAGGATATTGCTTCGCCTCCAAGAAACAAGGCTATTGACCACCTAAAAGAGAAAAATGCTTGTATAGCCTTGCTTCAAGGTGGCTTACTTGGACCCGAGCAGGCTTTGTCATATCAACCATACTGGCAAAGATACCTACATGCCGTTATTGGGAGATTTCTCTACCTTTGGAAATGTTCATTTAATCTTCTAGGCACACTTTTCTGTAGATAGCTTTGGTTTTAGACACATACATAAGCCCCTCTTTTTTGACTATAATAAGCCCCTGCTGAAAATGATATTTTCTCCTACTGCCTCTTTGACTAATCCCTTCTCCTGTCATATGTATAACAATTATACCCAAAAGTTATTGATTTGGCACATATATAAAAACTAAGTGGAGATTCATTGCTATAATAAGGCTATCTTGACTTGGCCATGTCATAAATATTTATTGCAAGTTGTTTGGGATGGTGACGTTCATTAGAAGAAAGGTTTTTGTCGTCGCATTCGTGCCGATCATGAAATTCAACCAAATTCAACCAAATTTATATCCTAGTGAAAGTCAGATGTGGTCCTGGAAACACTTCATTGAGTCCAACTTACAAGGGAACTTATATCCTGGCGACAATTGAAATGGCCCGCCCGGCTCTTTTTCATACCATTTACCATTCTTTCCTTGGGCCCACAAGTCTTTCGCGAGGCAATCGTCACATGGCGAATGGACATGCGAACTACCAATATCATTATTTTCGCCTTTCTCGACTTTCTCGATACCGCAACCTCCACAGCCCTTTTCAGGGACCAGAGATCCAAGAGTTTCAAGGACGTGGCCACAGAGGAAGTTTCGCTTGCTGACGTTTCTCCTACACATTTTCTGCAATATGTTTAGTTTCCTGTGGCCTGTTCCCGCATGTGTGGATGGGCGTTCATACTGTAATCTTGTAGCTCGAAATCAAAAATTCGGTCTGGGGGAAGCCAATTCCAAGAATATTGTAGAGATGAACAGCCGTTTGTTGTGTCCTCCTGAGGGCTGTAAGGGAACTTTGCCCTTTATATAAAGATACTATCTAGCGTCACATGTGTCTTTTGGGTAGCCAAAAACTTATTTTTTCCTGTTGTTAATCTAGGCAGCAATGCGCGTTACCATGAACTGGCATCCCTGCCCCATGAAACTTCCGCCTCACTCGATGCCTTGTCAGTCTAGATCAATACGACTACGCCGCAGCACGGATGTTTTGTGAGATTCACCCCTCACTGAATGCCTTGATTATATAAGGATAGGCAATTGTGAACCACAGCATAGATACTCTTTAGCCTCACTATAAAAAGTCGAATCTACAGATATATACTTACATGGAGCGGATTCCACCACAAGTAAAAATTCAGGGATCCACATATTTTATGATACGCCCCCGGCTAACATCAGGATTAGATCAGTTTCAGGCGCACATGGTAAATTATTGGTGTTGATTCGCTGATATTGACTGAGATCTTCAGCCTTCCGGGCAACTTTTACATGGTCTGAATTGTTGGCTTATGATGGGCCTTAACAAGTTATTGGGTGGGCTGTGGGATTTTGAGTTCTCGCGGATTGGGTTGGACCCACTTGAGCCGCAACTTTAAAACACTGAGTCATTTCGCATCACATCAAGCAAGGCAGCAGTCCATGTTCTGCTATGCAGTATTGATGGACTCCCAAAACATCACCAAAAGTCTTTCATTAATGTTGAATACTTGTCATATACTATTCGTGTTGAAACGAATCCAAAACACACGTTTGCTCGCGGGTAAAAAAATATGAGGGGAAGAAAACGGAAGCGCAGGATCTTATAATATTGACTTGCTCAACGGCATCAAAAGCCCTGTTTCAGAGAACTTGTACAGGCTCTTTTAGTGCTTCTCTTCTGGACATGCTTCTTTCATCAAAGAATGGCTTTTCTCCGACACCAACTGCACGAACACCATACCTGTCCTCCTTACCCTCAAGATCGAATGTTGCAGTGTGGAACACGCAACGGTTATCCCAGATTGCTGTATATTCCAAACAAATCAGTATTAAAGATTATCAGCGGATATACCAAAACTTACCCATGTCGTTGGCGTTCTTCCACTTAAATCGAACCTGGAGATCATTGTTCTCGTTGATCAACCTCAAGAACCAGTCCAGTAGAGCCTTGCTTTCGGCCTCGGTGACATCATTTATCTTCTGCACATGGAATCCCGCGGAATAAATACTCTTCCATCCCGTCACTGGGTTTGTACGCACGACAGGGTGAACCGAAGAGAAGTTTGATCCAATGTTTTCTGGAGCTCCACGCTGTCCGTCAAAGAGCTTGAATTTACCGCTAGCGGCGACCTTATTATACCCAGGCTGTGCGCAGGTAGCAGTTAGAGTTTCGAGGAAGCGTTGGTATGGTTTGCTAATGCGATCATAGAGTTCATATCCTGAGGCCCACAAGGTGTCTGCGCGAGAGGTTAACTTCATCGCTTCTTGCGGGTACCTAAGTTAGAGAAAGGGGGACCAGATATTACCTCCACCTGTCTTTGGGACCTGGGTTAACCTTAGTGTGGTGTATTCTGCAGGAATAGGCTCGAATGCTACATCAGAATGCCAATGAGCAGAACTTTGTTTCTTTGGGATCGAGACTGAATAATCAATAGAACGTAGCTTGTTGTCTTGAGCCGCACTGATAGTGTTGATTTCTGGGTCGTTGGCTCCTTGTTCGAAGATTGGATGTATGGAAAGTCGGCTTGTCGGTGGCTTTCCAGTCAATTCACCGAGGCGTTGCATCAATTCCTTCTGTTCAGTATTAGTGAGCCCATCTTGCTGGCGGAAGAAAACGACTCCTCGCTCAGAAACTATCACAAGAAACCGTCAGCCACTGCATATGGTAATAACCGTCTTCTTAGGCGCTTCTTGGAATTTTACGAACCGAGGATTGCGAGATCACGGAGAAGATCATCCGCATTTGGTGCCTTAATCCAATCTGCGAGCTTGGCTGTTGGGAACTCTGTCCCGATGATGGGTGTGACATCCTCTCTTTCGTATTGGTCAATGGCACCCGTTCGTCGAAGCGGAGCCTTCCATGTGGAAGGGGCCGTTGTGGATGGGGTTACTGTGGCGCTTGTTATGGCGGGAGCCATTCTTGCTGGCTTTCCTTTGATTTCTCGAAAGCAATCTACCTCAACAGGAAGATATAAATGCGCGTGGACGTAATCAGCCGGATGTTTTGGTAACACATGGAGATGCCTGCCTTGTCATGTAGGCTTGCATTCTATATACATTATCATATCTCGGGGGAATCGGTTCATTTCTGCCACTGCTTCTGGGCTTTCTTTTGACTGTAGTTTGCCTGCCCGGCGCTTTCTGAGCTGGAATAGATATTTCCATTCGAGACTACAACGGAGACACCATTCTCTACCATCAGAAAACACAAATATCGATACGAAGCTGACATGCATCCGCCTATGCTCTCAACATTCGGCATTTTTCAAAAGCCGCCCCGTTTAGTAACCAATGAGTCTCGGCGCATTACAACGAAGCTGATGCTATTATCCAGGATTGTAAACATTCGGCGGTTTTCCACATCCTCCCAAGGGCCAGGTGACTGTTGAGAGCGCACGTAAGCCCATTCCAAATGATCAGGCTGCTATTATGATGCAGAGCACAGCCCAACTCTCTAGCCAAGTCGTGAGGGCTTGGTCTTATTGAAATGCAGCTCCGTCGTTCGCACATAGTGTGCACTTGGCAGCAGATGCACCTTGATTCGCTTACCCGGCATGCAGTTGCAGGGCAGGAGAACGGACATCGAGTTCCGCAGAACCAGGGCCGCGCAAGCAGGGAACTAAGCAAGGAGTTCCTGCGTTCCGGAAGATGAGAGAATTTCTCAAAATCCCCATTGATATAGAGCTTTGATGATTGAATTAGTATGCATAAGTCTGGATTGTGCGATTTATGAAGAACTCTAAGGGCTTCCATTACGTGGATGTTGCGACGATCAAAAGGAGGTTGAGCGAGGATAAACAATCTATATTGCTCCTGACGAATCTATAGAAATGGCCGCACTTTGATCATTTTCTTCACACTATTTATTACCAGCGGCAGCTGTGTGAACGTGTCCCCCTTTTCATCCTGAGCATCGAGTCTCTCCTGCACCTGAACTGCCTGCAACATAGCCGGCGTGATCATTTCAGATCTTAGTCGACTCTGACCAGTGTCCTGTCCCTGGGGCAATCCTAGCGAGTTGCATAAACGATTTAGTATGTGCTCGCTAACCTGAACTACAATTGAAATCTCCAGTTCCATCCCAACATAACGGCTGAAAGGAGCCAAGCTTAAGCCCAGGAAACAAACGTGATTTGTCGTCGAGCATTGGATCCGCGAAGTTGGGAAATAAAAGGAAATCGTGAAGATCCG